AGTTCATCAGATATACAAGAGAAAAGAATCTACAGAAGAGTCTACTGTTAGTTCATCAGATATACAAGAGAAAAGAATCTACAGAAGAGTCTACTGTTAGTTCATCAGATATACAAGATAAAAGAATCTACAGTAGTCTACTGCTAGTTCATCAGATATACAAGAGAAAGGAATTTCTACAGAAGTCTACTGTTAGTTCATCAGATATACAAGAGAAAAGAATCTACAGAAGAGTCTACTGTTAGTTCATCAGATATACAAGAGAAAAGAATCTACAGAAGAGTCTACTGTTAGTTCATCAGAAAAACAAGAGAAAAGAATCTCTACCAAAGAGTCTACTATTAGTTCATCAGATATACAAGAGAAAAGAATCTACAGAAGAGTCTACTGTTAGTTCATCAGATATACAAGAGAAAGGAATTTCTACAGAAGTCTACTGTTAGTTCATCAGATATACAAGAGAAAAGAATCTACAGAAGAGTCCACTGTTAGTTCATCAGATATACAAGAGAAAAGAATCTCTACAGAAGATCTACTGTTAGTTCATCAGATATACAAGTGAAAAGAATCTCTACAGAAGAGTCTACTGTTAGTTCATCAGATATACAAGAGAAAAGAATCTCTACAGAAGAGTCTACTGTTAGTTCATCAAATATACAAGAGAAAAGAATCTACAGAAGAGTCTACTGTCAGTTCATCAGATATACAAGTGAAAAGAATCTACAGAAGAGTCTACTGTTAGTTCATCAGATATACAAGAGAAAAGAATCTACAGAAGAGTCTACTGTTAGTTCATCAGATATACAAGAGAAAAGAATCTCTACAGAAGTCTACTGTTAGTTCATCAGATCTAACAGTGGACTCTTCTGTAGATTCTTTTCTCTTGTATATCTGATGAACTAACAGTAGACTCTTCTGTAGAGATTCTTTTCTCTTGTATATCTGATGAACTAATAGTAGACTCTTCTGTAGAGATTCTTTTTCTTGTATAACAGTAGACTCTTCTGTAGATTCTTTTCTCTTGTATATCTGATGAACTTTTCTCTTGTATATCTGATGAACTCCTGTGTGTGTGATATTCTACCAATTCAAATTAAATCCAGGGCCTGTGTGTGATATTCTACCAACTCAAAGTCAACCCAGGGACCGTGTGTGTGATTTTCTACCAACTCAAAGTCAACCCAGGGCCCGTGTGTGTGATTTTCTACCAACTCAAAGTCAACCCAGGGCCCGTGTGTGTGATTTTCTACCAACTCAAATTCAACCCAGGGCCCGTGTGTGTGATTTTCTACCAACTCAAATTAAATCCAGGGTCTGTGTGTGATATTCCACCAACTCAAATTCAACCCAGGGCCTGTGTGTGTGATATTCTACCAACTCAAATTCAACCGAGGGCCTGCGTGTGATATTCTACCAACTCAAATTCAACCCAGGGCCTGTGTGTGATATTCTACCAACTCAAATTCAACCCAGGGCCTGTGTGTGATATTCTACCAACTCAAATTCAACTCAGGGCTATTGTGTAGTACAGGGGAGGGGTACAGCAAATTAGCCAATACTGAAAATGTAAGCTGTTGAAAAGTTTGGCAGTTTATATATTAACAGTTGCACTACAAATACAAAATAAATATGTATATACAACCTAGAAAAAACAAACCCATACTTTGCACAATAGTTCAAAAAAAATATAAAAATGCAAAGAACACTTCCCAAACACAAACAGGTTATATGCAAAAGCTTTTGGCTCTTATTTCCTTAAAAATATAAACTAAGAAGTCCCTATTGAGGCCATTTGGAAATGTGCAGACACCTATAATACTTATAAATAATATAATACATGTATTTCTTTACACAAAGAGTCGTGGTTGTTTGAAATATCCATGCATGTTGTTGAAGCCAAATCTCTGGGATTCTTCGAGAATCATCAACTAAGTTATCTCTTCTCATTTGTAACCTTTCTTATGTTCTTACTTGGAAGTTTCAATCCTGTCCATAATTCAGGATGTCCTTGGCTTTTGGACTTCACTGAACTGGCTGGTAATTCCAGAGCACATGGTGAAAACAACCCCCTTTACTCATAACTTCTCACTTGCACTTCTTGCTGTGGAATCTGATGAACTAACAGTAGACTTCTGTAGAGATTTTCTGGGTTGAATTTGAGTTGATAGAATATCACACACAGGTTCTGGGTTGAATTTGAATAGTTAGAATATCTCACACGGGTTCTGGGTTGAATTTGAGTTGGTAGAATATCATACACAGGTTCTGGGTTGAATTTGAGTTGGTGGAATATCACACACGGGTTCTGGGTTGAATTTGAGTTGTTAGAATATCACACACAGGCCCTGGATTTAATTTGAGTTGGTAGAATATCACACACAGGTCCTGGATTTATATTGAGTTGGTAGAATATCATACACAGGTTCTGGGTTGAATTTGAGTTGGTGGAATATCACACACGGGTTCTGGGTTGAATTTGAGTTGTTAGAATATCACACACAGGCCCTGGATTTAATTTGAGTTGGTAGAATATCACACACAGGTCCTGGATTTATATTGAGTTGGTAGAATATCATACACACGGGTTCTGTGTTGAATTTGAGTTAGAATATCTCACACGGGTTCTGGGTTGAATTTGAGTTGTTAGAATATCACACACAGGCCCTGGATTTAATTTGAGTTGGTAGAATATCACACACAGGTCCTGGATTTATATTGAGTTGGTAGA